CTTGCAAATAAAATTTGGCATCGATATTATTCATGCCTGTTCTCTCATCATTTCAAAAGTGAATGTTGAACTTTGCCTGCATGTGCAGCTTTTCAAACTGGAGACAGACAAATGTTTGGACAGGCACCACGGTTCGCAATATATATATATATAATATATAATAATAATAATAAAATGACACGTGTGTGTGTGTGACCACCATAGCTCCAAGAGCAAAGAACCTAGAAAACTGAAATCATGCACCCATATTAATTGGACCCTGAGGGTGTACATCTGGGTATTATTACTTATCCAAATGTGTGAGTGCATGTGTATCTTTTTAATGAGGCAAGCTAGCAAAAAAAGCACATAGAAAAGAAGTGGTTCCTTATATTACAAATAGAAATCACAGACAGACAGACATGCATGTCTGTGTATGTGTGACTGCCATAGCTTCAAGAGGAACGACCGTAGAAATTCAAAATTCCTTATATGGCTTCTTATATAACACCTTCTAGTATATAGAAAAGCCAGTGCAATTTAGTAACAGTGCATTCCAACAGTGACTATATACTTTTGTGCTAAAATGGGTTCAGAATACATACACTATCAACCTAATAACTGGAGCGAAGCTGGATACTTTTGCTAGTATGTATATATAAGATACTATGTCCTAACCTTCAGTGCAGTGTAAAGATTATTAAGAAATAGTTTGATACAAAAAAATAGGTTAAACCTTTCATTTAATTTGCCTAGCTTTAGCCCCTTGTAACTTAAGAAAAGTAGATGTATATACATAATTGATATTATCTTGGGATTAGAACAAGCTTCCTACATGGATCAAAAATAAAAATTAACCCAATAATGAGTATAGCTGATGTCAACTTATTTCATATGTTCATTGTCCTTTTACAAAAAAAAATACAATTGTCTTAACTGGAGCCTAACCTGCTTTTTTCAGTTATTAAACTTGTGTCCTTTAGCTTGTTATCTTTAGAATATAGAAAACAATAAATTAGTGTCCTTTATCATATTGAGTTCCCCCTGATAATTTGTAAACTTCAATAATGTCATCTCTAACCCTTCTTTTCTCAATAAAAAGTAAGTTAAAATATTTTAATCAATCCTTGTAAGAAGTCAATATGACTTCTTAAATAAGGAGACCAAAACTGTACACAGTATTCCAAGTGAGGCATAACTAAATATTTTTAAATAGATAATTACATATTTTGACTTGGAGTCATTATACATCTAAATTTATATTAACTT